GCAGGAATTTTGCGTTTTCACCCGTCTGACCCATTTGGACCCCCATTGTTCAGCACGAATTTGGCGTTTTGACCTGTCTGACCCATTTGGACCCCCATTGTTCAGCACGATTGTGTGGCCTCTTGGTGCGTCTGAACAGAAATTAAAGAACTTTTTGCTTCTTAATGTTATGGGATTCTTTCGGCGGGTGGGTTTTTTTCCCGTTGCCTACACACACTGCTGGCCAGGTAAATGCTCGAACTTGAGATGCTGAACCCTAAACCCTAAACCCTAAACCCTAAACCCTAAACCCTAGTAGGTTCGGGGTTTTGTAGGGTTTAGGGTTTGGGACGAGGAGCCCACAGAACGTGAACAACTCGTGCCCAAGACAACTCCGGGACCGTTTTTTTGCCCCAACACCTTAAATCCTGAGCTGACAGGGTTTAGGGTTTAGGGTTTAGGGCTTAGGGTTTAGGGTTTAGGGTTTAGGGCTTCAGGGCCTCAGGGCCTCAGGGCCTCAGGGCTTCAGGGCTTCAGGGCTTCAGGGCTTCAGGGAGGGCTTCGGTTCCCAAGGACTTGGCCTGGCCTCGCGGGCTGCTGGAGCATTCTTGCTGCTCTCCATCGCCTGCGTAGGGCTTAGGGTAGGGTTTATAGGGTTTATAGGGTTTATTGGGGTTTATGAGGTTTTTAGGGGTTTATAGGGTTTATAGGACTTATAGGGTTTATAGGGTTTATTGGGGTTTATGAGGTTTTTAGGGGTTTATAGGGTTTATAGGACTTATAGGGCTTATAGGGTTTATAGGGTTTATAGGGTTTATAGCGGTTGGGATAGGGTTTATAGGGCTTATAGGGCTTATAGGGCTTATAGGGCTTATAGGGCTTATAGGGTTTATGGGGTTTATAGGGTTTATAGCGGTTGGGATAGGGTTTATAGGGTTTACAGGGTTTATAGGGTTTATAGGGTTTAGGGTTTATAGGGTTTGGGTTTAGGGCTTTAGGGCTTGAGGGCTTTAGGGTTTAGGGCTTAGGGGTTTGGGGTGCTGCTACGTAACTTTCATACCACCAGGGTTTGCAGACGCTGAAAAGGAAGCTGGTCTAGACCGGGCTACTCAGCTTTCGCCCTGAACCCTCAACCCTAAACCCTAAACCCTACTTCCTATTCTCAACCCTAAACTCCCAGCCTGTCATTTCAGGGTGTATGGTTGTTGGGGGGTTAGGGCGGTTTGAGGGTTTGGCTGAGGGTTTTGGGGATTTGGGGGCTAAGGTGCCGTGGGTTAACGAGGGCTAGGGTTTAGGGTTTAGGGTTCAGTGTTCAGGGTTCAGGGTTTAGGGTTTAGGTTTTGGCTTTAGGGTCTAGGAATTCGGGCTTAGCGTTGAGGACTTCAGGTGGTTGCTTGTGCTCAAACTTTCCAGAACCCTGAACCCTAAAACCTTATAAACCCTAAACCCTGCAAACCCGAAACTCTAAAGTGTAAACTCTAAATCCTAAACCCTAAGACCTAAGCCCTAAACTCTAAACCCTTCCTTCTACAGTTTCCTTTGGGAAGCAAGGGCTAACAGGCTGGGATGTTATAGATGATAAAAACTGTTTGAACACCAGAGGCTAAAGGCTAGTTGTTCAACTACCAACTTCTTGTGTAGGATTTGACTCCCTTCACCCCCTGCACCCAAAACCTCTACAGCCTCAACCCCGCAACCGCTAACCCTGAACCCTGAATCCCTGAACCCGCAACCCCACTGAGGCACGAAGAAGGGTATAGGGTTTAGGGTTTAGGGTTCAAGGGTTCAGGGTTAAGGGTTTAGGGTTTATAGGGTTTATAGGGTTTAGGGTTTAGGGTTTAGGGTTTAGGGTTTGGGGGGGGGGGGGGGGGGGAACCTCCTGAAGCGACATCTGCGGTGATCTTGGACGACGTGGGGCTCTCACTCCTGGCAGCCGGTTCAAGTTCCGGGCTTAGGGCGACTTTGAGGCTTTGGGGTCAAACCCTAAACCCTAAACCTTCTAAATCCTCAACCCAAAACCCTAAACTCCTAAACCCTAAACCCTAAACCTTATTAATCCTCAACCCAAAACCCTAAACTCCTAACTCCTAAACCCTAAACCCTGGTGTGCAGGGATTTGCTAGGCTTTACTCGGTTTACAGGGTTTGTAGGCATCGAAGGGTGTAGCATCTTTGGGGCTTGGGCAACGCTGGGTTTCTCTAAGGTTGAGGGTTGTAGGGTGAGGGCTTATAACCCTAAACCCTAAACCCTAAACCTCAAACCCTAAACCCTAACCCTAAACCCTAAACCTCAAAGGCTTTAGAGTTTCAGGCTCTGGTTAGGACTTGGAGTTTAGCGCCTAGGACTTGTTGAGGCCCGAAGGTCGCTGTAAAACCGAGGAGTGCAAACGCGCGCCCTTTCGGCTTCTAAAGAGGTCTAGGAGGGAACCTCACCCCTGAATATAGGAATAAAGGCCCACTTTGGGTCCTCGAGGGGGTCGAAGAAACCCAAAACTACGCTAAACCCCAACCCCTAAACCCTAAACCCTACACCCTAAACCCTCAACCTGTGCCTTCGTGGAGTTGGTGTAAGGGTTTAGGGTTTAGGGTTTAGGGTTTAGGGTTTAGGGTTTAGGGTTTAGGGTTTAGGGTTTAGGGTTTACGGTTCGGGGGTTTCAGGGAATTCGCCTCGGGTTTTGGGTATTGGGTTTAGGGTTTAGAATTCGGGTTGAGGGGTTCGGGTTGAGGGGTTCGGGTTTGGGGGTTTAGGGGCTTTGGGGTCTTTAGACAACGACAGTTTAGGGGCTTCGGGTTTGGGGCTTGGGGCTGAAGATGCTCAATGGGGGGGGGGGGGGGGGCAGTGGTCTTTCTACATACTCGTATCTCAATGCTATACTGAACTTGGAACGCTGGCATGTTTTAGTTTTCGCGGTTTCTGAGGAATCCTAGTGCCCAAAATATTTAAAAATCAATCCAAATATCCCTAAGAATGACGTTGTCTTTGTGCATGCCAGCGGACGACTGATTAAGTTGCACGTGCACGTGCATGTTGTGTGTGTGTGTACATAAGTACATACATATTTGTGCAGGAAAGAATGCTCGTGTAAATATACGACTGCATGCACCCTAAACCCTAAACCCAAAACTCAAAACCCTAAACCCAAAACCCTACATCCTAAATCCTAAACCCTAAACCCTAACCCAGACCCTGACACCCCTTCAGCCTCAACCCTGCACCCCTATGAAGCACACCTGATCTTCAGGATACCTGCGGCCCAGGGTTTAGGGTTTAGGGTTTAGGGTTTAGGGTTTGCGGTTATAGGGTCCATGAAGCCTAAACCCTAAACCCTAAACCCTAAACCCCAAACCCCACACCCCTCTGCCTTCGTCCAGCTTCTCGCGGGCGTGAATATCGTCCTCCAGCCATGAGTCGATGGCGCGGATCTGCTCTCCTGGGCTTCTCAACCCTAAACCCTAAACCCTAAACCCTAAACCGTGGGCCTTTGAAGTGGGTCAGCAAAGAGAGGCTCGGAGATTTTAACGCTTAGGGCGTTTGGGACATCGAGCCTAACCTGAACTTTGAGCCCCTCAACCCTTACACCCCGAAGCCCTGAAAATTATCCCGCCCACCTGCAGCAAAGGACACCTTTAAAACACGGAGCACCTAAAGATGAGGTTTTTTAGGGTAAAGTGTAACGCCTAGGGCTGCTAAGGTCATCCACAATCCCCCAACAACAGGGCAGCCCTTAGAGTAATAAGTTGGGTCTTGGTTTCGGGACAAAGGTTAAGTTTATATTTGGGCGGCTGTGAAAATCACAGTCCCTTTTGGGGTACCCAAGATATTAGGTGCCGTTGTTAGAATAGGATCCAAAAAAGGACCCCCCCATTTTGACAACAACCCAAAACAGTCAGCTGTCGGAATGCTTGTCCACCTTGAACTCCGAACTGTTGGGTTTAGGGTCTAAGGTCTAGGAATCTAGGGTCTAGGGTCTAGGGTTTAGGGCTTAGGGTTTAGGATTGCAAGTAAGAACAGAAACGCATCCAAAAGGCTGAGCCGAAATTCGTTGCCCTTAACCCCGAAACCCTAAACCCTATATTATCCCTAAACCCTAAACCCTAAACCCCATACCCCAAACCTAAACCCTAAAACCGAAACCCTATCCCAACGCGAGTTCGGTCGAGGCACTCAAGGCGCTGCGATCCGGGACCTGAATGTCCTCCAAGCTAAGACCCTAAGCCCCGACAAACACGTCTAAACTCCTCTAAACCCCGATAAACCCTACAGGGTTTCGGGTTCAGGGTTTAGGGTTTAGGATCTAAGGTTTAGAGTATTTAGGGTTTAGGGTATTTAGGGTTTAGGGTTTAGGGTCCAGGGTATAAACCCTAATCCCTGAACCCTAACAACTACACACCCCTGAACACTCTCAGCCTCCAACCCCCTAAACAGACTTCAAGGGCACTCATTTGAGTGTTCGAAGAGAGCTTTTGGGGGCTCGAAGACTTTGTTTTCTTTCGTGCTCATAGGGCTACACAGTTTCGTTTACGGTTTGGGGTCTAGATAGGGTTAGGTTCAGGGTTTAGGGTTTAGGGTTTACAAGGTAGGCCGTTTTAGTTATCGGACTTACTGAGAACTTAGCAAAGTTACAGGACTTGTCTTGGACTTATCTTGACCTTATCTTGAACTTATCTTGAACTTATCTCGAGCCTGATATCAAACAAAATAAGTTCGGGATAACTTCTCTATATAAGTGGTTGCCGTTTTTTTCATATACACTGCGATTTCTTTCTACATCAAAGTTTCCTTTCAAAAAGGCACCCCACAGCAGGAAAGCGCACCGCCCTCTGCGATCGACCGCCATGTCAAAGAATGCATGTGACAAGTTGCAACATGTGTGTATAACAGCGGCTCGACCGCCAACTCTCAAACTGCGGATCGACCGCCATGGAATGCATGTGACAAGTTGCAACATGTGTGTATAACGGCGGCTCGACCGCCAACTCTCAACCAGTTATTATGCGTGCTGCCGCGTGCTCACGCATTTTTCACCGCAGGATGGTGATGTGTGCCTCTTCGGGCCAGAACCAGGAAACGGCATGCAAGGCAGCGAGCTCAGGCCCCTCGACCACACGCTGCTCTCCACCACGCTGGCAGGTGACGGCGCAACACGTCTGGGAAACCTTGCTTGCGATGTTTAAACTTTAAACCAAGTTGAACAACAAAACGCTATAGAGGAAAAATGTGGTGTGCCAGGCCAGAAGCAATGGGCAGTTGCTGAACCAGCAGTTGGACGCCATGCGCACGCTGCAAGCACAATCGAACCAAGTAAAAGTTGCTGCCGCAGATCGCCACATCATCCCTTCGAAAGAGTCGGCCGTTCAACTGGCACTTCGTGCTGGCGGTGCCTTCCAAGCCCAACTCTGCCCGAACCGTATCGGCTGCGATGAGAGGCGGCAACAACCGCGTTGCATCCGCAGCATCCATCAAATCAAATCTTTGTTGGGAGAGCATTGTCCGAAGCAGACTCATTGACAAAGCGCCTGTGCCATGCTTGAATAGAGAAGCATGGTCATTCGCGATGCGTCTCTTGTATCGCCTGTGCCGCGACTCGGCCGGAAACATGTCCACATATACTCCCAGCTGTCCAAGTTGGCTTGGATGATGCAAACGAAAGTGGTGCTTGGGTCTATACGCGCCTCAGCACGGAAAGCAAAAAGAAAAAACACATTTTCCACATGCATAAACTAAAACATTTTCAGGTTTCAATAATCACACTCCGGACCCTGCCTGGGTACGCCGCAGCGAAGGCAGCCTGGTGGGCAGCCTGCGCGGCCTCAAGCTGCGCCAAGGCGGCGTGCAGGGCGCCACCCTGCGCGGCACAACCGCTTCGGAGCTGGCCGAGCAGAGAACAGCAGCGATGGAGGGCCTGCAAGCTTGCAAGCGGCAACCTCATGGCTTCATTTCCCCCCCATGAGCTGCTCTGCATAGTACGCCAACAGCGCGAAGGCATCCATACATGCTGCAGCAGAGTTTTTGTATAGACTGCCTTCCCAGAAGACGGCTTCAAAGAGGCGTCCCGCCCAAGCCTTCCCGCTTCGGTCTTTGTAGCACCGCTTCCATCCAGAAGCCACCACTGCCTCCCGCAGCATCTCCAGTGAAAACTGGGATTTCTGCTCCATTTCCGCACGGAACAACAACAGCTCCGAAGAGACCACGCCGTTGGCGAAGTAGTTGTGGCACGGGTCAAAGAGCACGCAGGAGGGTGGAAGGAGTGCACGCGCATCAGGCTGTGCCAGCAAGGCCTGCGGCGCAACCGCAAAGCCGAAGAGCTTGTCCCTCTCTTTGCGAGCGGCTTCGCTCCTGCAAACCTCGGACAGAAACTGGTCATACAAAGCGAAGAGTTCCCCGTCGCGCAGCTCTTCGCATAGAGCAAACTCGGCGCATTCAATGGTCTGGAAGTACTTGTCTGCCCTTGCAGCCGTGCTTGTTTTCATCAGGACGTTCTGGCATTGCAAGCATGGCTTCAGTGCACTTGCGCCTTTGGCCATATACGTCGACGCCAGGCCCTCATAATCCCCGAGCAGGCCACGAAGACGAAGGCGCTGCCACTTCTCGCCGAGCAAGAAGCCAAAGTCCAGGCACTGCGCGGCAAGGTTTCGCAAGATCTCAACCATGACTGCCGAAATGCCAGCCTCAGTTTTTTGAAGCTCTGCGTGCGGCACCGCCGCCACAGTGAGCCAGTTCACTTCGTGAACTTGCGTGCCATCCAGAAGTGCAGCGTACACAAAGCACATCTTCTTCCGCGAGCCCGTCGCCAAAACGTTTCCTCCTGTGCACTCGTCGTGGCACAAGATCCAGTCTAGAGTTTCAGGCCAAGCACTTACCCGACGCTGCATGCTGGGAGAGCTGTCAAAAAGAAAGCGTAGAACTGCGGCAAGGTCGGCGCAACCGACTTTCAAGCCTTGCACAGTGATCATGTTGAAGCACGACTCCGCGTCAGCAGCTGCAATGCGCACATCCTTCCGCCATGTGCGAGCTGAGACAATGCGGGCGTCCTGCGGCAACCGCGCGAGCACTTGCGCGGCCGCAGTCGCCGAAATATTTGGTTGCGGCTGCAGACGTGCTCGCTTGGAGCGCGGCATGCGGCGTGCCAGCAGCTGCGCCCAACTCACACAGCTTGCGCAGCTCCGCGGCTCCACCGCCACATGGCGGCGAAAGACAAATGCTCTGGCCAGAATACATTGCGAAGTTTGTTGGCTGTGTCCACATGCAAGGTGTATATACATGAAAGACAAACACTACCCCGCCCCGCTGCTATGTATAAAGAGCATTTTCCTTGGGCTGCGAGAATGGGTCGAAGCATGCCATGGAGAGCGGCGCAACCGCCCGCGTGGACATGCGAATGGCGGCACGACCGGGCCTGCAGGCACGCCTCTTGTCAGCGCTCCAGTCTATTCCACGCGTGCAGCCGCATGGCCTGCTTGGACCCGTGAACGAGGTGGCGGCAGCGCGAGGCAAAAGCCATCAAGTTCTTCCGCGGCACGACCGCGGGCGCGAAGCCGCGCAGCAAGGCATCGCCGTATACAACAAGCGCCTGGCAGCCGCCCATGGCTCGCTCCAACTCGTCTGCCATGCCGATATCGACGTGTTCCCACTGGCAGGCTTCTGCCAGCTGCTGCTGGAACCACCCGAAGCGCGCCACGGCGCGGCTCCAGTACACCTCGCGAACCTTGTACCATTCCGGCGGCGCGACCGCCCAGTACAGGTGCGGCGCGTCCGCAGCAGGCGGCGCGTCCGCAGCAGCAGGCGGCGCAGCCGCTCCCGGCACATCATCCATGTCGTCGTCCATGCACAGCTCGAGGTCTTCAAAGGACTCCACTTGGAAGGCCGCCGCGGAATCTGCTTCCCATGGCTCTGTCGTGGCCTGGGACGGGTCTGGCAGCCAATGCGGCGAGTCCTCGCCATCGCCAGCAAATTCCGGCTCCACCGGAGCGTTTGTGCTCGCTGCAGCTGGCTGGGACTGGGACGGACCTGCAGCTGGCTGCGAGGCAGGGGAAGCGTCCTCAGCCGCTTGCGTTGCCGCGGCCGGGCGACGGGCAGGGCGATGCCATGGCAGCCGGCGCTGGCGAGGCGAGCGCGCAGCCCGCAGCAACAGCGCGCGTGGGGTCAGGCGCGGACGCCGGCGCACCACCATGGCGCTCGTGCAGCTGGGCCCTTGCAACCAAAACTCTGCAGAACCCCTGCACGCATGCATGGGCTCTATATATACATATATATATATACAACATGTGCACGTAGACTTCTCCATTTTGCACATCCCCTTGCAGGCTGCACTCTGCAGCTGTTGCCGCAACTTTGCTCGAAGCTGAATCCGTGGGCTGCCTTTTGAGGAACGAATGCGCTATTACAGAACAAAACAGCAGTTACACAGAACCAAACCACACATGCATGCAGCATGATGCCCCGAAATTCAGCCCGAGAAGGATGCGACGGCATCCCAGCACCAAAAACACAGATGCGGCGCAACCGCAACAGGAACGGCGCAACCGTGCTAAAGCCCAAGTCTGTGCTGAAAAAAACACAGGTTGCGTGGGCCATGGTGAAGAAACTTGTCAAGCTCAGTCAGGCGTTGTCCTTGCCCGTGGCTTTCGCCTTCGCCTTTCTCGTGGCTTTCGCCGGCCCCGGCTTGGCACCCGCCTCTTTCTCCTCGGACTTCTTTTCCGCAATGTGGCCTTGCAAAGACCGGAGGAACCCGGAGGAGGCCTTGACGTGCTTGAAGGCCGCTCCGTCCAGGTCATCCTCGGTAGCGAGCTTGCCGCCAGCCACTTTGCGGACCACCGCGTCTGCCTCCGCGCAGAAAGCCATCAGCCGCTCCAAAGAGTCTTGGCAACTCGTGAAGCATGTGAGTTCACTGAGTTCTTCGGCGCTCAAGGCCCCCTTGGCGGCTACGACCGCTTTCTGCAGGCGGGTCACTGCGGCCTGCGCTGCAGGCTGCTGCTTCGCGCAGCAAGGGCCAGAACCCTGCGTGACGTATTCTGGGCAGCCAGCAACTCCTTCTCTCGGAACTTCTGACGCGAGCGCTCCTCTCTGGCGTCAGCACGCTCCTGCCTGGCAGCAGCGCGCGCGGCAGACTTGTCTGCGGTCTTCGCTTGTTTTGCCACGGGTGCCTCCAGTGGCACGTCCCATTCCCCGCCATCGTCTGCTGGGGCGCCGGCACGACCGCGCTTACGGCGAACCTCCGCCTCCTTCTGCAAGAGCTGCTCGTTCACTGTCCGCATCACGTCCGACTCCGACTGATACTTCGTGCGCAGCTGGTAGGTGTCAATGCCCAACTCCTCGTTCTTCTCCTTGCGGCCAGCCAGCACCACGCTTTTTTCCCAGCCCTGCTGCACCCACACCGACAAAGGCAGGAAGGAGCCTCCATACTCGACCTTCTCCTCGTGGATGGCTTGCCGCACTGCGACCTCCTTCACCTCCGCCCGCACGGTCTCCCAGCTGAGCCTGCTCCCTGCAGGCCCGCTTCGAGCCGCCACGCGGCGGAAGAAGTCTGCACGGGCCGCGTCATCAAATGAGTCTGGCCACGTGCCCAAGTGCCGCGCAACCATTTTGCGCGTGGCACCACAGCGCGCGCACTCTGCGTTCTTGCGCTGCCGGGCCGCGTGCTCGAAGGCCTGGCCGCAGGAGCCACAGACAGCCGGCTCAACCGGCGCCTGGTCCTGCGGCTCAACCGCTTCGAGGTCGAGGGTTGCGGTGAGGCTGTCGGCGGCCATTGCTGAGACGCGACGAAGGTTACAGAAGCCTTGCCTGTGCTTGTTTTCTTGAGCCATGAAGCAGCATCAGCAACACCAGTTTCCCCCAAAAAAATGCTTTCTGTTTTCGTGCGCGGACATTCGCGGACATTTCGCGGACATTTGTTGACGATGCTGCCCGAGGTGTCTGCGGACATCGGCGGACATTTGGCGGACATTATAGTTCCACAAATTGGGCTGCGGGGCACGCGTCATGGGTCCCGCGGACATCCGCGGCCGGACACGCATTTTGCTACGTTTTCCAGGAATTTCTATGAGCAATCACGCTTCTTTCTGTCCGGCGGACATCGGCGGACATTCCATACATTTGTGTACAATTCCGCGGACAAAGACGCGTTTTCCGTGGCGGACATTTCGCGGACATTCATATATTGCAGTTTTTGGTCGGAGTTTCATGCCCAAGCCGATATGTTTTGCATCTCTTTTGCAGGATTTGGGCTACAATGGCTACAAATATATAATCCAGATTCCGGGAAACACTATAGCTTTTTATATGCAACGCTTCAGACTTGCAGTCGCGGCGCAACCACTGCAACGCATGCAGGGGGTTTAGGGTTTAGGGGGGGTTTATGGGGGGGACACCACCGCCCTTTAACCCGAAACCCTGGCCCTATATATATATATCCTATAAAACCAACCCTGCCATTAAGGGGGTTTTAAGGGGGGTTACCTTTCAAGGGCCATATAGTGCAGTGCGCTCACACTTTTCTGGCTGCAGGCGCTTCAAATCTCCGGGTCCTCTGGCCCGAGCACTGGTGCCTGCTGCGGCTCAACCGCCATCGATGTCTCGGCCTCTGGCGCGGGCGGCCCAACCGCCGCAGCCGAGGCAGTGCCCTCCTGCGACGTCTCCACTTGCGGCTCAACCGCGGTAGAGGCCTGTGACGTCTCCACTTGCGGCTCAACCGCGGTAGAGGCCTGTGACGTCTCCCCTTGCGGCTCAACCGCGGTTGAGGCCTGTGTGACGTCTCCACTTGCGGCTCAACTGCGGTTGAAGACGAAGAGGCCTGTTCCCTGGACTCACGCACCTCACGCTCCCACACTCTCATCAGTGCCTGCATGTTCTTTTTGTGGCGAGGCGTCATGAGGTGCGCGCCCCAATGGAGGCTGCCTGCGTGGCCCACTTTCGCATTGCAGACCAGGCACAACGCGCCGTCTGCGCTGCGCCAGCGATGCTCGGGCACTGCAGGCATCGCCGACGGCTTGACAAAGTCCGGCTCCACCGACAACTCTGCCGCATCCGGCTCAACCGGCGCCGAGTCTGCTGCACCTGGCTCAACCGGTGCCACCGCGTCTGCTGCGCCCTCAACCGGTGCCACCGCCTCTGCTGCATCCGGCGCAACTGGTGCCTCTGCTGCATCCGGCTCAACCGGCGCCGCGTCGTCCTCCTCGGAGGAAAACTGACTTGTGGAAGAGCGGTCCAAGGAGTCCCGGGCAGCCTGCGGGGGTGTGCCGCGCCCTATTGTCGGCGCCCCGCGCCCCATTGCCGGCTCTGCCGGCACGACCGGCTCTGCCCGCTCTGCCGGCGCGACCGGCTCGTCTGCGTCCCTCGGCTCCGCTTTCACTGCCGGCGCGACCGGCTCGTCTGCGTCCCTTGGAAGGAGTTGTCCCAGCGCGCCAAGGTGGCCCGCTCTGGCTGCCGCCCGGGCGGTGCAGCCCCAGCTGCTCCATCGCCCTCCGAGAGATGCCCTGGGCTTTGGCCTTCGCCTGGATCTCCAGACGACGCTGCTTGTCCACGAGCGGCGCTCGTTTCGGCGCCGCCGCAGCCTCCTCCTCCTCCGAGTACTCCGAGTACTCCGAAGGCTCCTGTTTTGGCTTCCTTTTTTTCTCACGCCTTCCTCCCTCCTCCTCCTCCTCGTCCTCCCTGCTGCCTCCGCACCAGCCGGCCCAACCGGAACTGCGTCGCCACCAAACCTGGCCGGAGGAGGTCCGGCCTGCCCAGGCGTCTGCCGACCAGGCCTCGCCTGACCAGCCGGCCCAGTTTGGTCGTCCCAGCCATCCTCTGCCCAGCTGTCGTCGACCCAGCTGTCGTCCAGCCAGCTGTCGCGGGCCCAGCTGTTGTTGGCCCACGACCATGGCCACCACCATCCGCTCCAGCCCCAGCCACCGCGGCCGCTAAAGCCGGCCCAGGCGTCCTCCTCCTCCTCGTCTTCGTCGGCGGAGACCCAGCGCCACGGCATGGTGCTCCAGTGGCGCTTTACTGAGACTGTTTCTGTTGAGGAAACTACACTGCACGCTGCATGCTGCTGCTGCTGCTGCTGCTGTTGCTGCTGCGCTGCGAAGCTGCGTGCTGCTTTGTTGTCTCAAGCTCGAGCAAAAAAAGCGGACCCGAAGAAAGTGGGCAGCATTCCACAACGCAGTGCACTGGGCTGCGGCGCAACCGCCTCCGAGCTAAAATGCAGCCATGTTCAGCATGCTGACATGTTTCTTGCTGCGGCACGACCGCCCCGATCCCGTTGCAAAAAACTGAAGTCTTGAATTTTGCCTCCATGTTTTCTTTCACCATTTATATATATATATATTTTGTTTCATTTCGGTTGACAAGCCTCATGTGTCGGGGAGAGAGGAGTCGACATGTTCAATGCGTGCGCGTAAAGAGGTCCTTTTTTACTCTCTGCAGCCGGCGGGCTCTGCGTGCCGGATGCCTCGGGGGAACGCTACATATGCCGCGGCGCGACCGCGCGAGCGTGCGCACGCATGCTTCTCAACGCCGGGCACACTTCAAGGGCGGCTCAGAGGAGGGCTGCATCCATGGCACGCGCTGCTGTTGGGAGGCTGGGCCGTGGGAAGCGAGAAACTTGTTGATGGTCATCAACTTCGGCAGTCGCACAGGCTGATTGCACCCAGCCATCGTGTACTGCAAGCGCAAGGACTCCAGGTCGCTGAGCTCAAGGACTCGCGTCACGGCATCGTGCACCTCCTGCATGCGGCTCGACCGCGAAAAGCTGCGCAGGAGCACGGTGTCACCAGACAATTTGGTGACGCAAATTCGGCTCGACCGCGGGTTAAATGGCTCCGCCATGAAGTCAAGGTTCAAAACCAGGCTGCCAACTCTTTCAAGGTAGACCGGGCAAGTTACTCCTCGCAAAACTGGCTCGAGCAGATAGCCGCAGCCATGCGCATGGTGCAGCTCCTTGACGACGTGGAATCTGCACCGGCCCTGCCCATATTCTAGGGTCAGGATGACCACGTCATCGACCTCCAGCTCTTGCAAGCCTCGGTTCGACGACGGCCCAACCGCTCTGAACTTCCAGCCTGGCGGCCGCAGATGCTCCGCAGGGAGAGCCAAGGCCGTCAGCGGCAGTATAGCATATTGATGCACGCGTTGCGGCTCCTCTACCGCTTCCGCTGCAGACATGCCGCAACGCTTCAGATCCCTCGATCTTCCAAAACTCTTGAGCCGCAAACATATAAATGGGTTTGCATGTGCAGTTCGGCAGCTTTTCTATGCATTTATAACATGGGCAACGCGGGCTTCAGCTCGTTTCTTTTCAGAAAAGTGGGGCTGGCGTAAATGGCTGCACATGCATGCCATGCGGCACGACCGCACATGCAGGTGACACGCATGTCGTTGCGCGATGCAGCACAGCGCAAGTGCCGTCTGCAAGCGCGCGGCACGACCGCATGCGGAAAACGCGGGCCTGGTCACATATAGCAAGATGGGCAACAGCCCGGCTTCTCCCTGCACTTCGGGCCTTAGGGCGGGCTGCCAGCCTCGCGGCCATCGTTGGGGGCACTACCCCACGCGGCCAAACAGCCGCTGCAGCTGGTCGTCTTTTGGCAGATGCTCCTGTTGTTGACCGCGCTGCCGGCCGCTTGTGCGCATGGGCGCCTCCGCAGCCCCGGCCACGTCCCACCCGCGACACGCTTGCAGCAGGGCGAGACTTCACATGGCCACGCCCACGCCCACGCCCACGCACCAGTGGCACGCTTGCAGCAGGGCGAGACTTCACATGGCCACGCCCACGCCCACGCCCACGCACCAGTGGCACGCTTGCAGCAGGGCGAGACATCACCATGCTTGCGCACGCTGCAGGCCGCTGCTTCACCTGTCCGCATGCCTGCTGCAAACGCTGCAACGACTCCTGCAGGGTTGTGCCTTGCGCAGTGGACAGTCGCTCGCCCAGCGGCTCTACCGCTGCAACGTCTTGCAGGGGAGGAGCTGCTATGGTCTCAGGCGCAGTCTCAGCGTGCTTCTCAGCAGCTGCCATCGGCAGGGCAGACCCAGACCTTGCGGCGGCTGGCGGCGCCTGCGGCTGCAGAGCTGCTTCCGCGGGCAGCGCTTCTTGCTGTTCGCGCGTGCCTCCTTCATGTCCAGCCGCGCAGCTTGGCTGAGAGGATGGCGCAGCTTCAGCATCCTTGATGGCCAAAAGACTGCACGACGGCGCCTCTAAGAGGGCACGCAACTTCTGCTGGCTTGCAGGAAGGGGCGGCGCCGGCTGGGCGGGCTGCGAAGACGAAGCTCCTGCGCCCGGCCACAGCTGCAGCTGCGTCAACGCGCCCAGCAAGGTCTGTATGGCCGAGGCTTGTTCGGCAGAGGTTTTCTCTTCTTTCTTGGCAGCTTTCACCAGCCGATGGCTTGCGCGCAGGGGGACAATGCTGGCGCGGCTCAGCCTGAGGTATACACGGAAAAGGCACAACACACACACATGAACATGTGCAGATTTTCAAAACATAGCCAAGAAACACCTCCATCAATGAAACCCGTGGCGCAACCACGGGCTCGCTTGCTTCAGCCAGCTGACGCAGCCTCGGGTCTGCAAGCTGCACGTCTGCAGGCAAGCGCGCGACGATGTAATCTGTTCTCGGCGCAACCGAAATGCTGAGCTGCATGTGGCTTTTGCAGGTGATGAGGTAGTTGTGCTGCTTAGCCATGTCCTCTGCTGGGCGCTGCAGGCGCAACAAGGCAACCATCACAGCAGTTGTGGATTCCGTGGGGTTTCGTAGCCCCATGCGTGCAAGGTGCTGGGTGATCTGTTGCATCGCTTCCACGTCTGTCTTTGTCTCCAGCGCATGCCACAGCGAAGCTGTCAGGAAAGCCGGAAAGCATGTCCAATCTTGCATAACGGCCCGACCGCTTTTTTTGGGGTGCGACTCAATGAACTTCTTCTCCAATGCGTCCAGCAACGCCTGCTTGTTTGCCGCCTCAGACTCACGGACCCGCAGCTCCAAAAGATTGAGCTCCAGCGGAGAGAACTGCCGGCCCTGCAAGGCTCGCAGCAGCTCTTCCGCATCCATGGCAGCAGAGGTAGCTTACAAAAACTTTCGCTGCAGGAACCTCAAGCCTATATGTGCGCACATGCATTATACACGATTATACAGAAACTCTGCGGCCCGACCGCCAGAATGCTGCGCCGTGACCGCGTGGAAATGCGCCAGCAACAAATTTAATATAGCCCTGCACTTGGCCGCCCTCTTTCCACGAAAACAATCACCACAGATATATTCCGCAACTTTCTATAGTGTTTATACCACAAAAGAGCTCATAAGGCGACAACACATTCTCGTTGCATCCTCTTTTTGCTAACTCCGCTAACTTCCGGATAACTTTTGTCACTGCACTCTGGAACTTATCTTGAACATATCTTGAACATATCTTGAACACATCTCGAACATAGTAACTGGCCTTAAGTCCGCTAACTAACTTAAAAAATCGTATACACTTAACCCAACTTATAACTTAAGTTAACCCCCGTTATAACATAAGTTACCCCCACTTATAAGTGGGGTTAACTTCTATGGGCCTACCTTGTAGGGTGTAGGGTTTAGGGTTTAGGGTTTAGGGTTTAGGGTTTAGGGTTTAGGGTGTAGGGTTTAGGGTTTAGGGTTTAGGCTTAGCTTTGAGGGGAAAACGACGATCCCTCCGGGGGGTTCCGGCTATGCCGCAGATAACAGGCTTGCTCCGAAACCCTACCTCTGAACCCTAAGCCCTAAGCCCTAAACCCTAAACCTCAAACCCTAAACCCTAAACCCTAAACACTAAACCCTAAGCCCTAAGCCCTAAACCCTAAACCTCAAACCCTAAACCCTAAACCCCTAAACCCTCTCAACCCTACACCCTAAACCGCGAAAAAACCCCAAAACCCCGTCCTCTGCGGGACGGGCTGGAGCTGCGGGAGGCTGGGGCCGCCTCAGGGGTTTAGGGTTTAGGGTTTAGGGTTTGGGGTTTAGGGTTTAGGGTTTCTGGCAGCAATGTCTGGGACAAGAAATCTCGACTGTCCATTCTAGGGTTTAGGGTTTAGGGTTTGGGGTTTAGGGTTTAGGGTGGCGTTTTCAGGGTTTTGGGCATCGAGGATTTCATTGGGTCTCCTTTCAGCTTCTTCCCTCATCCTCTCGTCTTTCTCATCCCACTGGAGCTCGAACAACTGCTGGCTGATGCGATAAGAACTGTTTTCGATACTGAGCTTGGAACCCTAGCAAAAATGGAATCCTCGCAAAAATCCTGATTTTAGAGGTATCTTGAGACTTCTGGTACCAAAAAATGAATATTTACCCCTAGTATCCCGAAGCCCTAAGTTTTGTTGCAAGTTGATCGTAGGTTGGTGCCGTTCATCTTCCGTGTCTCCAGTTGGGGCGATCTAAACCCGAAATAACCATGTCAACTGCGGGACCCTCCACAAAAGAAAGCCCCCAACCCCTAAACGCCCTGAAAACAAGTCCTCCGAGGCATCTCCATGCCTTCAACCCTAAACCCTAAACCCTAAACCCTAAACCCTAAACCCTGAACCCTAAACCCTAAACCCTAAACCTGAAACCCTAAACCCTGAACCCCAAGCCCTAAACCCTAAACCCTGTACCAACAGGCCTCCGAGGCATCTCCATGCCCAAGCTGCTATAGAACTCCTTTGAGATGTCCTGAGAGCAAAGTCAGGTGGTTCAGTGGGTTGTGGGTTTAGCGTTTAGGGCTTAGGGTTTAGGGTTTAGGGTGTAACCCTAAACCCAAAGTGTCTAAACCCAAATCCTTAAACCCCAAACCCAGAGTGTTCACCGTAAGCCCTCATGACTCCATGGGCTGTGACCTGGCGAAGTCGCCCTTTCCGAGCTCTTCTGAACACCGAACTTCACAGGGTTTAGGGTTTAGGGTTTAGAGCTATTTCTGAACCATCTCGAGATTAGAATTTAAGAAGCAAAGCGTTGTTGCTGCCCAGCGCATGGTTCAACATCTCCGTTTCAAGCGATTTTTAAGCTCCCCAAAAGCCTCGACACCCTGAAGTGTCCCGAAACTGCGTTGCTGAAAGGGTAGTGACACTCAGTGTGTGTGTGTGTGTGGGGGGGGGGGGGGGGGGGGCACCTCGCAAGACAACAAAGACAAACCAAAACCCTGACAACCCCACTCAACCCTAAACCCGAAACCCTGAGAGTCCTCGGAGTTCTGGGTGAAGGACCTTGGCGGCTGGGGAGATTCCGGGGTAGGGTTTAGGGCTTAGGGTTTAATTAAAGGTTTTGGGGTAAACATGTGCTTAGGCTTTTGCTGAAGGCGTTGTTGGGGGGGGGGGGGGGGGCTAAAGAGCATCCCTAATCCTAAACCCTAGACCCTAAACCCCCCCCAACCCCTAATAACCTCTAAAGCCAAAAACGCTAGAACTGCCCGGTGCAGGTCGAAGGCTTGCAGCGGAGCCCTTTGCCGGGAAACCTCCGAAACCTGAACACCCCACAGACCAACAAAAACCAGCCTACACCCCAAACCGGGAGAAAGTAATCGAGCGCAAATAAAAACTGTTGGACTGCATTGAAAATATATGCTTCGCGTGACGTGCACCCCCCCCCCCCCACACCCTGGGCGTGTAATGGCGTGTAAGGAGCGACGAGACGCCCGAAACCCTAAACTCCAAACCCTAAACCCCAAACCCCAAACCCTAAATGCCGAAACCTAAGCCAAAAACCCTAAACCCTACTTTGCCACCCCGACTGCATAGGCCGTAACCACCCTTGATTTGAAGCGTCGCCATTTGCACATCCTACTTCCTACCGAGCGAGCCGCCCTCCAGCCTAAACCCTAGACACCAAACCCTGAACTTTGAAACCCCAAACCCTGAACCCTAAGCCCCAAACCCTAAACCCCAAACCCTCAACCCCAAACCTTAAACCCTAAACCCTAAACCCCAAACCCAAAACCCTAAACCCTAAACCCAAAAATGCGGCTGAGAGGCAGCCCTCGGCTCCCAGGCCCGGGGGGAGGTCCAGAGCGCCCGGCATCGGAGGCTGGGCCCAAGATTGGGGTTTAGGGTTTAGGGTTTAGGGTTTAGGGTTTAGTGTTTAGGGTGTAGGGTTTAGGGTTTAGGGTTTAGGATTTAGGGTTTAGGGTTTAGGTGCTTGGGGTTTAGGGTTTCGAGAAGTTTCTAGGGTTTGGGGTTTAGG